GGTCTGTCACTTGCTTGTTTCTACGGATATGATTTTGCTCTTCCTGGAATGTTCCACAGCAGTTTGTTCAATTACAGGGGGTTTCACAGCTTCTGACTGTGAGTGGGTCGCCTCTCCACAGATCGAGCCTGAAACTTGGTCTGGTGAAACTGTGAAACATTCCAGACAACGCAGTAACGTGTTGGAAATGCATTTTAACGGACCCTCTACCAGAGAAGTTACACAATGCTCCTTTAAGACCATGCAGCTATAAACGTGTGCGGTTTAAGAGTTGGATCATGTTTTGGTATTTTGACAGCTGGAAGTAAGATTGGCTCGAGTCTGTTCAGTTAATCACTTGCTTATCAAATAAAGGTTCAGTTATTTGAAATTGTCAATGATTAACTGTGTAACGGAGAGGTACACAGCCAGTCCTCTGTCTGTAAAAGGATGTGGTTTGCAGCCCAGTCCAGACTTTGGAGGAAGGAATCGAATTTGTTTTATGATAATGTCAATGATTAAAAGTCTGTTTTGTTTATATATTGAAATCGCACTTTTATCTCTTGTCCAAATTGAAAGCAGTCGCTGGATTTCCATGAGACAGCTCCACATGTTCGTCATTTGATTAGTTTGCGTCACGAGCTCCAAGTCACAGACAAAATGCAAAAAGAAAATGTTGCTATTACTTAAGGTCTTGTAGTACTAGTAGTAATATTTGTAGTAGTACTAGTAGTTATAGCAGTAGTTGTAGTGTTAGTCGCAGTAATTGTTGTAGCAGCAGTAGTAGTAGTTGTAATACTGCTAGTAGTCGTAGAAGTACTAGTAGCAGTAGTAGTAGCAGTAGCAGCAGTAGTAATAGCCATAGTAGTAGTAGTACCAGTAACAGTAGCAGTAGTAGCAGGAGTAGAGTAGCAGTAGCAGTAGCAGGAGTACCAGTAGTAGTAGCAGTAGTAATGCTACTACTGCTACTAGTACTGCTCAGTAGTAGCAGAAGTAGTAAGAGTAGCAGTAATAATAGTAATAGTAGTAGTTGTAGTAGTAGTAGTAGTAGTAGTGGTGGTAGTAGTAGTATTAGTAGTAGTAGTAGTAGCTGCAGCAGTAGTAGTGGCACTAGCAGTAGGAGTAGCAGTAGCAGCAGCAGCAGTAGTAGTAGTAGCAGTGGTAGCAGTACCCTTAGTAGGAGTAGTAGTAGTAGTAGTAGTAGTAGTAGTAGTCAGTAGTAGCAGTAGTAGTACTTGCACTCCTTCATAAACTCCCAAGTCTTGACAGTTGTAAAAATCGTTGACAAAAATCTGCATCGAGTTTCTCTGTAGAAAATACAAGTACAGTAGTACTACTACTACTGATACTGTAAATATATAGAAAATATTTATTTACTTGACTTGGTTAGCACAAATTAATAAAATGTAGTTTTTAATGTTTCTGAAATCACTGAATGTTCCATGGTGTGACATTACATATTCATCTAGCATTCATTCATTACAGGTGTTTCTATTACTCAAAAATACAATAATTCCTTCTGTGAATGGGGCGCCTTTACACAGATCTGACCTGTAATGCAGCGTAGTGCTATAACCTGATTGTCTCCCTTGCAATGGTGGATAAAGTACTCAATTCATTTAACTTAAGTAAAAGTACAGATACAAAGGCAAAAAGTTACTCAAGGAAAAGGACCACATGAAAAATTTAAAGGTTGTATAGAGGATTTTCCAAGGAACGAGAAATCCAGCGACTGTTTGTGCTTTTTCAAATGTTGCGCATGCGTGAAACCCCCCCCCTCCCCTACAGCTCCTACGTAGAAACGCCTCCTTCCGCCTCATCCTTACGCCAGAAACCGGTGCGCTGCACATGACTTGTAAACAACTAACTACAGTGTTGGTTAGGCAAGGCGGAGAAGTGAGGAGCGGGGGGAGCGGGTGCGCGGACATTTCGTGCGCGGACGAGAAGTGAGGAGCAGGGAGAAGAGCGGAGCAGGAGCAGAGAGAGGAGAGGAGAGGGGAGCGGTGCGCGGAGATTCCGTGAGGAGCAGGGAGAAGAGCGGAACGGGCAGAGAGGGGCGCAGAGAGGGGGGCGCGGAGATTCCGTGCGAATGAACTAGCTACTACTACAACACGCAGCAGCAAGCGGACTCTTTCTTTGCCTTGAAAATTAAGTTTTCAGACATAGGATATCGCATTCGTGTCCTGAAAAAACGTTTGTCTAACTCTTGGAAATAAAGTACGTTTTCATAATAAGCAGAAGTGACCTGTCCAGAAGTAATTTGGCGACCAGTGCGTCAGTCTTTAGACCCTGTGTCTGCTTCAGTCGCGCCATCGCTGGAATGAATCTTCAAGAATCACCTTAGTTTGGTTTCGCTGCTTTTCCCCTTGTCTTCTTCTTTCAGCGACCTCAAAAACGGACTTTGTTTTGCGGCTAACTGCTCCTGGATTCTTGTCTGCCATTGCAATAAACTTTGTGCGAACTGCGAGGAAGATATAGGTCAAAAAAAGCCGCTAAGAACTGTTGCGTTGGTGGAGTAAACAGCGTCTGTGGACTGCGTGACAGTCGTACGTAAACCACGTAATGGCAGCGCGCAGGCAAGTCAGTTACGCTAGAAACGTAGGGAGATTGATTGACAGCCTGTCAACTAACAGATAACGAGGCAGTGTCGTTATCTATTGGCAAATGTTTAGCCCCACCACGTCCAGAGTTGATGAATTTTTATTCTCTTTTTTTTGGTCATCATAATTACAAGGCTACTGCACCTCTATAATCTATCATTGACAATTTGAAACAAAAAAAAACAAAAAAAATCCTCCATACAACCTTTAAGTTAAACTATTGAAGTACCTGTTTCAAAATGTACTTTAAAAGTAAAAGTATTAAAATAAAAGGTATTTTGCAGTGATTTTTAGAACAATTAAAGCATCAAATGTAGTGATTTTGAAAAAAGAATTTAGCAGATTTTAAACGATCCAATTCAAATGAAATGTGCTAAAAAAATAAATCTCAATCATTTCAGCAGTTCTCAAACCATAAAGAAAATGACTTTTTACTTTTCAGTCCAGATCTAAAATGTAGGAGTACAAAGTACAGATACCTGCTCTTAAATGTAGTGAAGCAAAAGTAAAAAGTATCCACTGTAAAATGCTCTTAAGTAAAGTACAGATACTTTAAAAAAAAAAAAAAAAAAAGTACTTAAGTTTAGTACTTTTACTTTACTTTTGTGCTTCAGTGACCATTGCTCTCTTGTGATAGACAGGTTAAATCTCTACTGTGGAAGATTCTAGACAAAGAAATAACATCTCCATGGAGACAAGCAGATGGCAGACCCCCTACCAGAAATGTTACATAGTGCACCTTTAATGATACTGTATACTTAGTTATTGTGTCAGTGGCATAAAGTAGTGTCAGTATTATTTAACACAATATTTTTCTATAGTAACACACTATGCTTCAAATTATACAGCATATCCATTCACAATAAAGTAATTTTTTATCTATTTTATTTATTTATTATTTTTTATTTAAAATATCAAAATATCAATATATCGTATCGTTTATTGTGCTGATACAGTATCGATATTAAGGGCTGCTGTATCGATATATCGTCAAGAGTATTTTAGGTATATTTTCACTAAATTAGTTTGTGTAAGAGCTACAGTTGTGTTGACATTTTCACTGTTTTGAGTAAAATGGATGTTTTTCACATTCACTTTTCACAAACTTAGTGAACTTTTAGTATTAGGGCCATCATTTATCCTTTTTTACACTGTACCGTATCGAATCGATGTGAAATATATTGTATCGAATCGTATTGAATGAACAGCTCACTGTATAGAAAAGTGTATCTTATCGTGACCTATGTATCGAGATATGTATCGTATCGGTAACTTCTTAACGATACCCAGCCCTAGTGCATTGTGTAACTTTTCTGGTGGAGGTTCTGTCACATGTTTTTTTTTTTTTCCCCTGGAGATGTTATTGGCATTAAACCTTTCTATCTTCACGGAGGCCAAACCAGACCAAGCTACAGGTCAGATCTGTGGAGAGGCAACCCCGCTCACAGTCAGAATGTCTGTTTTTTTAGGTATTAGGTATTATTTTTGAGCTATAAAACCATCTGCAATTGAATAAATGTAAGACAGAGCTGTTTAATGTCATACTGAGGAACATTTCAGGCAGAGCAATTAGAAATATGAGTGTCCAAAGCGCTGCACAGACAAAATATGACATTAAAAGAGAGTAAATCATACATAAAAACAATAAATAAAAAGTGTTAAAATGCAAAAGAGTTAAAGTTACATACTGCACCTTAAAGTACCAAAAGTCTTGTTCAATTGGTAGATAATTTTACTCACTTCACGTCGAGTTAACTTGACTAGATGCTCGTTTTTGAATTGTATAGTACAAGTACTTTTGGTATGATACATTCAAGCTACTTTGGCACTTTTTCAAACAACTTCCCCAAACTCAGAAACTCAAATATTACTGATAGCGGTGTGTGATAGACAAATAAGATTAAGTTAAGCGTAGAAACCTCAGGAAATAAATCATTAACTTGAATCTAGTGTGAGCGGGCTGATAGAGGAAGTGTAAATAGTAAAAAAATTTAAAAAATAAAAAAAAATACGCAGGAAAAGCATTTTGACTGTGCGTGTGGATGCATACTTTGAAACGGGGCATGCGAAAAAATGATGACACCGCAAGTCTGAAAATTTCTGAAAGTGGATTTTAAAACTTTTTTCATGTCTCTAATTGAAGTATTTCCAGTTGTAGCATATGTTTACATTATATTTGGTATACTTTAAATATGATATAACATTAATAATTAAATTAAAATGCAAAAAAACAAGTTACAAGTACATTATAACTATGATAGCTGCAATATACTTCGTCCAGGTGTGGTCTGTGGTACAATAATATTCAATACGCATATATTTTAAAACTGCTAATATACTATGGCCAGCTTTTATTTTGAAATTTTAACCCTAGCTCTTGTTGCATATTTGGATAAGACCAGACGAGACAGGTTTTCTTACCTTATAAAAATGTTTCTTGAATGCACTCAGGGGCCTATCCTCTCTTCCAGCAACCGAGCACAAACAGCAGCACCATTTTCACGCAACTACGAGTAAAATCTGGCAGAAAATGCGTAAAAGTTCTGCTGTCTGCTGATATGAATCGCAATCGAGCGCACGCTGCTCCTGCCTGCGCCTGTCTGCACCTGCACCCGTCTGCACCGCACACGAGACGCCGCAGCTCGAACTGAAACTTTACCGCTCCGATCAAACGGACACGCGCGTAAAGTCAAACTAACGGGATGAGGTTAGACTTCCTGTTGACCCTTCAAAATAAAAGAGTGATCGCGATAAAAATGAGTAGTGCAGTGTAGCTAAGGGTGGGTATCGTTACGAAGTTGCTGATATCATACACGCCTCGATACATAGGCCATGATACAATACATCTCGATACAGTGAGCTTTCAATTCCATACGATATATTTCAAATTGATTCGATACGATTCAATAAAAAATAAAGGCTAAATCATGGTTGTGATACTAAAAGTGTTTGCTAAATCACTTCTTGTGCAAAGTTCATAAGAAACAAACTCATTTTAATCATCAAAACACTGAAAATTTCTAATTTGTCGCATAAACAAGTTTCCATCTTCTAAACAAGCAACAAAACTGTAGCTCTGTAACAAAATAATTTAGTAAAATATATTCAAAAAAAACTCTTGGCGATATATTGATACAGCAGCCCACGATATTGATACTGTATCAGCACATTAAACCATACGATATATCGATATATATTGATATTTTTGCACAAGTGTAGTTGAGTTAGGAGCACAGGCTGTTGTCCACCATCACATAGATGGTAGTTTGATCACGTTCTGCAATCAGTTTTATAATTTTGTTTTTTTGAATTTTGTCCCCATCCCTCTGACAGTGATACAGACAAAACATCTGGTTATGGGTTTATGTGATTTTTTTGTTTCATTCACACATGTTTAACGCACAAACCACTCAGGTCTTCTCTCAAACAGAAAACACTGTTCCACCTTGTGATGTCATGTGGTAATACAGGGAGTGCTCCACTGGTTTTTTAAACTCCTTTCACCCTCATGCATTAAAACGCTGCAAAATTGCCTTTATTCTCAAGCAAATGTTATTCTGAAAACATGCCACATCCGGTTTGACTGCTTCCTCATTGCTAAGCTTCAGGCTTCTCTTCCTCTTGTTCACACACACAAACACACAAACACACACACACACACACACACATCCACACATGTACACATACACACATATTTGTATTCCTTAAAAAATACTTTCAGAAACATGCATTCTTACTTAAACTCACCCCTCCACAAATCTGACGTATAGATCCACTACATAAAAGTTACATAGTGCGTCTTTCCTACGATTTACTACTTTACTACTAACTACTATTACTACTACAACTACTACAACTACTACTCCTACTACTCCTCTTCCTCCTCCTCCTCCTACTACTACTACAACTACCAACTACTATTACTACTACAACAACTACTACTATTACTCCTCCTCCTCCTACTACTACTACTACTACTACTACTACTACTACTAAAACTACTACTACTACAACTACCAACTACTATTACTACTACAACTACTACTACTCCTACTACTACAACTACCAACTACTATTACTACTACAACAACTACTACTATTACTCCTCCTCCTACTACTACTACTACTACTACTACTACTACTAAAACTACTACTACTACAACTACCAACTACTATTACTACTACAACTACTACTACTCCTACTACTACAATTACCAACTACTATTACTACTACAACTACTACTACTACTACTATTACTACAACTACAATTAGGATTACTATTACAACTACTATTACTACTACTACAACTACTACTACTACTACTACAAATAATAATAATAATAATACATTTTATTTATCAGATGCCTTTCTGGACACTCAAGGTCGCCTTACAACAACATAAACAAATCAAATTAAATACTATTAAAACATACAGTTAAAAGTAAACAGTTAAAGTTTAACAGTACCACTTACTATCTGCTGTATTGTACATGCATTATATTGTATATCTGGTCGAAAGTGTCGTTTAGTAAAAGTATCTGTTTTTGTGGCTCGTCTTTGACCTGTCTTCAGTTCCTGTGATCACTGAACTGTACTTCACCTCTGCAGGTTCCCATGAAAAGGCAAGGTTAACTAGAACTTTATTAAATATAGTTCGATTAAAACTACAGGACGTAACTTTCTTCTGGAGGTGGCACGTCACCTGCATGATTCCATATAAACATAAGAGAGACCTAGAATTATACAATGATATGATAAAGACTCATTACACATTATTTAATAGATTGCAAAGATTTAATAATAATAAATAATGTCCAGTGTCATCTAAATCCCAAAAAGCATCTTGACTTTGCCGTGTGGAGGAACAGAGTGTCTTAAAATCAAAGTAAAATGTGAAAATGCGCGCGAGTTGTGCAGTGGAGCTGTGAGCTGTGTGAGCTGTGGCGGAGCAGGTGTGGGGCCAAACATCCGGAGTGTGTGTGCAAAAGACCACAAAACACCTGAAAGAGAGAGAGAACGAGGGATGGGGGAGAAAAAGAGGAAGAGAGAGGGGCGAGAAAGAGAAAGAGAAAGAGAAAGAAGGAAGAGAGAGGGGGAGATAAGGGGGTAGAAAGGGGGTGAGAAAGAGGGAGAAGCAGAAAAAGAAGGGGGGCGGAGAAAAGAGGTGGAGAAAGGGAGAGAAGAGAAAGGAGAGAGAGGGGGGGAGACAGATGGGAGAAAGGCAGAGAAGAGAGGGAGAGGAGAAAGAGGCATGAGAGAGGGGGAGAACGAGAGAAAAAGAGGGGAAGACAGGTGGGAAAAAGGGAGTAAGAAAGGCGGGAGGAGAAAGAGAGAGAGGGAGAAGGGGAGAGAAGAGAGAGGGGGAGGAGAGAGAGACGTGAGACTGGCAGTAGAAAGGGAGGTGGGGGGGGAGAAGAGAGAGGGGGAGGAGAGAGGGGGAGAAAGGGAGAAAAGATAGAGAGAGGAGAGAGGGGCAGAAATAGAAGAAGGGAGGAGAGAGGAGAGAGGGGGGAAGAAAGTGAGAGAAGAGAGGGGGAGAAAGAGAGAAAGAGAGAGGGGGGGAAGAGAGAGGAGAGAGAGGGGGAGAATAAGGAAGAGAGAGGGGAGGAGAAAGAGAGACGAGAGAGAAGGGGGAAAAGGGAGAGAAGAGAGCATCCACTGCTGCAAATCTTGAAGTTATTCAAACATTACAACACAGGGCCCAAGTGGTTCCTACAAGCACAGAGGGAAAGGAAAAAGAAGAACAACATGCAGAAATCCCTCTCTGTTTGTGGAGATCCAAAACAGACTTTCAATAAAACAAACAAGAGCTAAAAAAATAAAAAATATAAAAAACAGAATGAACCTGAGAGAAAGGGAATAACTATTCCATACCTGGCTGATGTTTTTGAAAAACTACAGAGGATTTTCAGACAGTATGAGGTCCCGGTCTATTTCAAACCTACAAACACTTTAAAACAGAAACTGGTCCGCCAAAGGACCAAACACCAAGTCACAAATAAAGCAATGTTGTTTACTCTGTTCAGTGTAGTGAAGACTGCAGTGAACGCTACACTGGAGAAACCAACCAGCCATTTCACAAGAGGATGAACCAACGCAGACAAGAGTGCAACACAGGACCTCAGTCTGTGGTCCATCTCTCTGATTGGTGGGGCACTTGTACACCAGGCCAATCCTGCCTCACCTTTAGCCACCTTAGGAGACTGTCTGCACTTGTTTGTGGCCAGTCTACAGTTTTGTGTCTGTGTCTCATTAGTGTTATTAGTTTAACTTTATGTATGTGAGACACTAGTTTAGTCTGGTTCTGTTTTGTGTGGTTTTTGTTGTTGTTTTTTTTGTCTATCAATTCTGTTTGTAGGTTTATGTGACTTTTGTTTCGGGACTTGTGTGTTAGGTGTCCGTCCCCCCCTTTATTTTATAGGCCTGCTTGACCTGTTTACATTCTACATTCCTGCTCATTAAATTATCGCTTTAACATCTTAATTTTGTTACTTCCCTGACCTTAGTAAGATGGATTGTAACAGTGGAATCTCAGATATTATAAGGCAAGACCTTAAATCAGCATGACTTAATACAGTCAAATCGGAACCTGACCACATAATTAGGGAAGTTATAAACAATACAAATTTAACTACTCGAGGCCATTTGTAGTTCTTAACACAGCCACCAGATGGAGCCCTCGCCGCATACATTATTCAGCTGCGTTGCATCTGTAGCCTTGAACACAGCATACGTAAAATTATTAGAAGCACAATTTAGACTCTTACTAAAAAAAAAAAGACGAATATTTGTACTACTTGAATAAAATGCATTAAAATTTTTGTTCTTCCTTAAAACTAAAATATATTGGAAATAACATTGTACAGCCTATGCTCAAGAAATGAATGTATATCAGCGCTGTGACCTATATTATCTTTAATTAAAGGGCCCATATTACACTATTTTCTGATCTATGTTATCATAAGGTACTAGAAAGGAACTAGAAAACTACCACTTCATGATATCACAAGGTGGAGCAGAGCATTTTGAGCTTTGGAGATGTAGGCAGACTAATAATAAATGGTTATTCAAACATCTGTGAATGGAGAAAAAAAAAAAAAGAAACAAAAAGAGTCAAGAGTCAAGTTAGCATGATATATGACCGTTAGGATATGTTTTGTTTATGGGCGTGTCCTTCCCGTAACCACGCCCTACTCCCGTGACGCAGTCCGTAGCCACGCCCCCCGCTGGCGTCTCCTCTTCAGCAACAGGTTCTTCATTCAGTCCGCTCCGATCCACGCTTTGGGATTTAGCGGATTTTTCTGTCAAAAGGTCAACGTGGGATAAGAAGATGCCATTTCCCGACGTCCTCCTTGAGTTTTTAGCGGCAATCGAACAAGTTGAGTGCGGTAATTACGCGCTGGTTACTTCGTCGTTGGAGGAGAAACTTTTATTTGGATTTTATCAGGAACAGTGATTTGGGAATTGGAAAATATCGACTTCGAATATTTTAGCTGAAACGGATTAATCGTGTCAAAACAAAACGATTTTCTCCCTTTTTTTTTTTTTTTTTTATCTTTTGACAGTTTTTCGTGCGTACTTTGTCGTGCCACGTTATCCAAAGATAAACACTTTTACGCGTAAGGAGAGGATGCTAACTTCTAACCACGAGGGCACTTTTCTTATTTTTGTAATGTTTAAATGAACAAAAGAAAGCAATGATGATTTCGGAGGAGAGAAGCAGTCCCGTGAATAATAAACAAAGTCTGAACCTCTCCGTGGGTTTGCTCATCCGCTCCCCAAAGAGACGCCTCGCCAAACTGGGACGAAAACCCAGCAATGGTTCCATGCAGTAAGTACCTGATGTATATAGGCTTTATTAAAGGTTCACTGTGTAACTTTTCTGCTAGGTTGTCTGCCACAACATTGTTTCCATGGAGATATTATTGCTTTGCCTGAACGGTTTCACAATATGGCATTAAACTCTTCTATATTGCTACTTAAAAATACATGCATTGCTTCATGAGTGAGCTCACCCCTCCACAGATCTGACCTATAACTTGGCCTAGAAGCATTATTGGCTTGTCTCCATGAAAATAGATAAGTGTAATGCCATAATGTGGGACATTCTAGACTAAGTAATAATTTCCATGAATAGAAGCAGGTGGCCGACCCTCCTCCAGAAAGTTACACAGTGCAGTAATAGTTTTCATAAGCTAAAATGCTCATTATGTACTTTCAAATGGGGGCAAGAGCCAGATTTGTATGTTAATTACATTGTACTTTAGCATGAAATATCCAAAAGGTAAATTTACAAATGTTGTTTGTCTTACTGACCCAATAATTCACTGAGTTACAACAAAAATCTGCATTCTAACAATATTCATTTTAACTACTACACTCATCTGTTAAGTATTATTGGCCGATAGAATATTGTGATGTCATCTGAAACACAACAATAGGAAAACTCACCCCAACAACTTCATTTAAATGTTTTATTTGTAATATATGGTTTATTGAAGAAGCATAGTTAGGTGCACTATGTAATTTTTTTGGTCTGGACTTCGCCACCCTCCTGTCTCCGTGGAAGTGTTACTTGTTTTGCCTGAAATGTTCCACGTATGTCATTCAACTTCTCTGTCATATATTTATTCAATTACAGGTGGTTTTATTGCTTAAAACCTTGAAAAAATTAAATTTTTATTGTATGCCGGGATCACCTCACCATAAATCTGACCTGTAACTTGGCCTGTTGTCCCCATGGAGACATAAATAAGTGAAATGTAAATAAGTAAATAAGTGAAATGCCGGACTGTGGAATATTCTTGGCAAAGCAATAACTTCTGTATGGAGATTTGCAGATAATGGACCATCCACCAGAAAAGTTACGCATTGCACCTTTATGAAAATGAGACTACAGTATATAAAATAAGTCTTTCAATTGTAGATTTGTTTGTATTTAGTGTAAACTGTACAAGGAAACAAGTGGAAAGAGACCACACAACCTTTCTGGTTGTAAATCACATTGCAATATAAACAGAATACTGAATACTTGCTCTAAAATGTATTTTGTGACACATTCTGATACAACGCCCAATCAGAGTACTGTATTCTAAATACTGGGAATACTTTTACATTAAGTCGCATTGTGTCATAGTGTAAAAAAAAATCTGACAAATAATTAGAGATGAAAAATCACACATGCACACTCTGCTAGAGCTGTGTTCTCTTTTTCTCACTAATACTGTGCAGTTTAAAGGTGCACTGCGTAACATTTCTAGTGGAGGGTTCGTCACCTGTTTGTCTCCATGGAGATGTTATCACTTTGTCTAGAATGTTCCGCAGTATAGATTAAACCTGTCTATCACGGGGAAGACAAGCGGGTTACAGCACTACGCTACATTACAATTCAGATTTGTGAAGAGGAATTTTTGTGTTTTTGAGCAACAGAAACACCTGTAATGAATAAATACTAGATGTTAATGTCATACTATGGAACATTTCAGGGAATGGAGTAACATCTCCATGGAGACAAGCAGGTGTAGCGAACCCTCCACCAGAAAAGTTGAGCAGTGCACCTTTAAAGCCAAAATTGCGTGATGAAGTAATGTCATGGATTCCTTTAATTTTAGAAAAGTAATTGTAATCTGAATGAGAAAGTGAGAAAATGTGTAAGAAACTGGGATACAGGTACTTAAAATGATTATTCAGAATATCTGTTTTCAGTACATGTATTCAGTTACTCCCCTACACTGATTATTAGGGATGTAACAATATCCAAATCTCTTGATACAATATTTTTACGATATGCATGTCAAGGTCCGATATTTTTAGGCTCTATTCTATTCACACTTACCGGAAGACATTTGGAAACATGCGGATGACTTCTTCCGGTGCAATTCCCAACACTGGGCATGTGATAAAACCGTGGATTCAGCAGCAGCGTCTTCCCAACCTGCCAAAGCTTTCCATGTGGGACGTGACTCTAATCACATCATCAATGTCACTTACAGACAGCTGGTTGGAACTGTTGATCTGATGAACATTAAGGATTGCTACAATGGCATCTTTTTAGAAATGATTAAGTTAGACAAATTATAATACACAAATTAATAGGAAATTTATAAAAGGAAAAATAGAACAAATACAGTTTCTTCTAAAAATGAGCCATTTTCTCAGTTTTCCTTAGATTTTGTCAGAGTTACTATCAATAACAGAGCCCAAAAAAGTCGTCACCCGCATGTTTCCGAACGTCTGCCGGTTTTGTGACATAAGCGCAAAGAGCCCATTGTGATCATTTGTGGAGGCTACTAAAATTCCCCTTTTAAACTGCCTTAAAATTGTCTTTTGCTTATGTCATAATCCAAAAAAGAATTAAGATTTAAAAGTGTTTAGTACAGTTATTTCATCATGGCAGGTCTGCACTAGGATGGAGCAAAGGATCATGGTCTATGTAGTTCCCTCTGTTTTTTTTTTTTTAGCTATGTTGCTGCATCATAACTTGCACGATATTATTGTGAGACTTTTTGACGATAGGTATCAGATTTTTCGGTTATTGTTACATCCCTATTGATTATAGGCCTTCATTCTTGCCTTTTTACTGTTGGTTGAGTTAAAATAAATTGTCTAAAAGGATCAACAATGTGGGGTGAACTTTTAGCTACCAGTAGTGTCCCTTATTTTGAAATATAATCCAAAACAGAGTGCAATTAAACTGTATTTCAGGCAACTCTATGTTTAATCTGATGACACAGAATCTTGTGCAATTAATCCTTTTCTGATGGTGGGGAACTCATAATCGTTTAAACCAGCAATTAAACATTTCACAATATAACTTCATAATAACTAAATCCATTATGGGGTAATTAACTTGAGCCTGAGTTTCCAAACCTTAAGTCACTTGTGTTACACTGCACCTGTCAGATTATAATATTTAATTTAATTTCTAGCAGTAGATTTTTTTTACTTTTTACTGTAAACCGAAAACATAAAATTGAAATCTGATTAAAGTGGGACTAATCTTTGCCCAAAAACCCAACAAATCTGATGTAAAAATGTTATGATTTTTATATTTTTTATGGAAATTTTATGGAAATAGAAGAGCAATGAAAGAAAGCAAAGAAGTGGTAATGTTTTTGTTTATACAATCATGAAAATTGAACAAATTATATTAAAGAAAAAGACGTTTGCAATGATTTGTACTAAAGGGAAACGTTATTTTGTGAACTTTGCTTAATTTTAATTGAATTTGGGCAGTATTCACGGAAAAATCTGTATCAGACCAACCTTAAAAATATCTGATGTTTTGTTCCTGTGTCACATTCCTTCTTTCATTCTCCCTCTCTCTTCCTTATCTCTTTGCAACTCTGTCTTTCTTCTTTTTTCCCTCCCTTTCTTTTCTCCTCTCTCCCCCTCTCTCCATCTTTCTGTCCCTCTTTCTGTCCTCTCCCTGCCTCTCTCCCCCTCTCCCTCTCCCTGCCTCTCTCCTACTCTCTCTCTCCTTCTCCCTCTCTCTCCCTCTCTCTCCTTCCCTACATTCCTCTTTCTCATATCAACTCTCTCTCTTTCTCCCTCTCTCTCTTCCCTCCCTCTCATACACACACTTTCTCTCTCTTTCTCTTCTTCCGTCTCTTTCTCTCCTTCCCTCTCTTTCTGCTCCCCTCCGTCTTTCTTTTCCTCTCTTTCTCTGTCCTTCCCTACATCCCTTTCTCTCTTACTTTCTCTTTCTCTCTTTTTCTCTCTCCCTCCCACTCTCCTTCGCTTCCTCTCTCTTTTCTCCCTACCTCCCTCTCCCTCTCTCTCTCCTTCCCTACATTCCACTTTCTCATACTCACTCTTACTCTCTTTTTCTCTCTCACTTTCCTTCCCTCCCTCTCTCTCTCTGTCCCTACATTACTCTGTCTCATACTCATACTTTCTCTCTTTTTATCTCCCTCTCTCCTTCCCTACATCCCTCTCTCTCATTTACTCTGTCTCCTTCTCTCCCTTCTCTAGATCCACCCAGTCTGACAGCACCGTTCGCTCCTCGGAGAGCGTGGGGGTCCGGCAGCCCGCCAAAAGCAAAATCCGTCGCCATAACAACCGCCTCTCCAGCGTCTTCGGCCACAGCCCAAACCTGCGGGACTCCAGGGCAGCTCGCCGGGGCAACCTGACGGACAGTGGCAGCCTCGGCGGGGACCTGCACGCCAACGACGACCCCTCCGAACTGTCCCATCAGAAATCGGCGCCGGGGATTTTGAAGATTTTTGGCAGCGACATTTGTCAAGGGACCAACTACAAAAGTGTGCTGGCCACGATTCAGTCAGAGGCGAAGGAGCTCGTGAAAGAGGCACTGGAGAGGTGAGAGATCTGGCAACCTGACAACGCCATAATTCAGGGTTTCTCACAATGGAGACTCAGTGCGGACAATGCAAACCACTTACGATGTTATTGTGAAGGAATCTGTTCAAAGTATTTGGTTTCAAGAGCTCAGCGCTACTTTAAAGCCTTGAAGGTTAAAGGGACAGTCTGGAATTTTGGACATAGGGCCTCATTTCCTTGTGAGCCAGAGTGTTGGAGACGAGTGGAGACACTTTTTTAAATATTCCATGCAGTCCTTGTATTTGCAGAGGTCACTGGTGCTAGGCTAGTGCATGTCAATGGCCATAGTTAGCCTGACACTAAAAACAGTCTTACCCACTCCACGAAACACCCGAAGCAAATCTATTATTACTCCAGACTGTCCATGTGAACGTCTGTGTCAATAGAATAGTTTTTGAAATAAAACTAACCTTGCATCACATGAATCCTTGCATGTTGAGGGACTATTTTCTCATATATCAGTCCGCTGCTGCCAAGATTTCTATCAGAAAGTACAAATCACTGCTGCTGCTCACACATAAATCCTTCAAATGCAAGTCTGGTTTTACTTCTAAAATTATTCTATCAACACGGACATTTACATCGACAGTCTGGCATTATAATAGATTTGCTTCGGGTGTTTTGTGGAGTGGGTAAGACTGTTTTTAGTGGCAGGATATCTATGGCCATTGACATGCACTAGCCTAGCATGATCCTGATAACACTTTATATAAGATGCAGACAATACACAGCTGACTTTGTTTGACTTCAAAGCAAGTTTTTGTCAAATACATGAGAAACAAATCTGGTACAGGGTATTTAATGTTAAAAGTTTGCAGGAGGAGAATTGAACAAAAAATAAACTCACAGGTTTAAACTCTTAAAAGAAAAAAAAATCAAGATTCAGTTCACAGTGCATATTTTAAACATGGACTGGGACTTAAAAAGACTGAGGCCCCGTTTACACGTACATGGGTATTTTTAAAAACAGATATATTTCTCTTCGTTTGTACCCATCTTTTACACGCAAATGGCGAAATCTGAAAACAAATCTTTCTAAAAACTCCGGCTAGAGTGGAGATTCCGGAAAACTACGGTTTCATGTTTGCGTGTAAAGTGAGATAAACTGAGTTTTAGGAGCTGACTCACCAAAAGTGCAACCAATGTTTAACTTTTGCTCTGATGATGATGATGGAGCATTCAGAGCAGCAGTCGCATTTCTTCTGGTGCAAATACTTTTCATGTGTTTGCATTTGCACACACAGCTGATGTTTAATATCCATGACCAGTGACCAATGAGGCTCGGATTTCAGCAATTTTGACACTTTTTTAACATATCTGTGGAGAAGCGAACCCACTCAGTACTGCACGTTTTTCAAAGTATTTTTGAGTAATACTTTCAACTGTAATGAAGTAAATGCTATGTTTGAATCTAATCCAGGTGCCGCCAAGAGGCTTGGTGTAGTTCTGATGGCGCTCAATGGCGAATTTATGTGGGTTGATATAAATGAAAACTTTTTTTGAAAACAATGCTATGTGCACAATGTTATTTTGGAAAATGGAGGGAAATATTCGTTTCTCAACATACCCGGCTATGTGTAAACGTAGCCTGATATATTGACTGTAAACCCACAAGAATGTGTTGGATTTCAGAACATGCTAGTAGAGTTGTTCTTTCCAACCTGCTGCTCTGTGGGGATTGTATCGCTTTTGCTTGGAATGTTACACAGTATGGTATTAAATTGTCTATCTTCATGGAGACAAGCAGCTGACACCACCATGTCAAGTTACAGGTTAGATCTGTGGAGAGGCGTCACCACTCACTGTATTAAAGCATGTTTTTCAAGGTATTTGTGAGCGATATAAACACCTTGAGTAGAATACATTTTAAATATAAGTGTAATGCTATACCATGGAATATTCTGTAAAAGGCAATAGCATCTCTATGGAAACAAGCAGGTGACAGACTCCTCACCAGAAGAGTTACGTAGTCCACCTTCAATTATAATCCTCATGTTCAGGTACTGTCTGGAGAAGGAGGAGCCCGGGGACTACGTGCTGTGTGACGTGATTGGCCGGACCGTGGAGAACCACTGGAAGAGGGAGTGTTTCCGTGTGGTTGGCGACGCGGAGAAGCCCCTCCTCCTGCAGTCGCTATGGAAACCCAAAGATGGCTTCTCCAGGCGCTTTGAGATCCAGCGCAGAGCCAGTGTGGAGGAGCAGAGCCTGAAGAACAGAGACACAGTGACCGCAGGTGAGGGCGAGTTTTGGCTGATGGGGCCTGGAGACAGTTTGGCGCAGTTGATATGTTTGTTTTGGGATGCGTCGATCCAGCTTTTTCAGTTCCGATATCGATTTCGATACTATAGATTTAAAGATCTCATATTGCCCTTTTTTGTAATTTATGTTATAACGTAGTTTCACATCACAAACAAAAGTGGAGTTGTGTTTTGTTTCATTCACACATGTTTAACACACAAACCCTGCAGATTTAGGCTGAGCTCTTCTCTCAAACAGAAAACACTCAGTTCCACCTTGTGATGTCATGTGGGAATACAGGAAGTACTTTACTGTATTTTAAAACTCCATACACCTTCACTAGAATCACTTGGATAATTTCAGCCCAGGAATTGCCAATCTTTGCTTAACTAAACGTAAAAAGTAGCTGTTAACTTGAAAAAATCATGACATCACGAGGTGGAACAGAGCATTCTGAGCTATAATAAAGGATTACTGAAATGTGTGAATGAAACAAAACACAACTCAAGGTCTGTTTTTGATGAGGTAACAACATTATAACATGACTTAGAAGCTCATAAGAGTCAAGTTTGTGTTATATAGGACCTTTAACATTAAGGTTTGTGTTCCAGAGCTTCAGGGCAACTTCAGAAAAGTCCCAGTCTGCATTAGATGTTATTATTACTTCGAAAAGGCTTCAAAAATATTCTCCAGAACTGTCAGTGCTATCAGTGAGTGTAGCATCCCTGTTACCAATCACTCAGTGTGGACCGCAGAGACACAGAGACACTCGGGGGGGAGTCCTGATCCTCAGCTCCTGTTGCAGCCCAACAGCCTCCATTGTTCTGCTTATCACAGAGAGATGGGACAGAACACAGGGGAGAGGGGAAGAAAGAGGGAGAGAAAGAGAGGAGGAGAAACAGGGAGAGAGAGGAGGAGAGGGAAAGAGAGGGGGGGAGGAGGAAAGGAGGGTGAGAGACAGGGAGGGAAAGGAAGATGAGGGGACGAAGAGAGAGAGAGATGGGGAGAGAAATAGGGAGAGGGAGAGGAGAAAAGGAGGAGAGAGAGAGGGAGAGGAGGAAAGGAAGAGAGAGAGGGGAAGAGAAAGAGGGGGGAGAGATGCGAAGACGGGTCGGGGAAGAGAGAACGAGAGTGAAGACGGGAGAGAGGGAGAGAAGGAGAGAAAGAGGTGGAGGAAAAGAGAGGGGTAGGGGAAGAGATAGCGAGAGGGGAAGAGAAAGAGGGGGAGAGATGGAGTGCGGGTAGGGGAAGAGAGAGAGAGGAAGAGGGAGAGAGAGGAGGAGAGGAAGAGAAAGAAAGAGAGGGGGAGAGGAGGAGAAGAGGAGAGAGTGTCTGATTGACAAAAAACACAGTGAGAGACTGGAGAGAGAGAGACTGTCCCAAATCTTATCTTCGGTCTCTTAGTCTCTGCAGCTCTGGACAGCATCAAGGCTCCACTGATGTCTTTTATTGACATGTTTTTGACATTTTCAGTGTTTGATTTTCTAACATTCTGTTGGTTAAATCAATACATGAATACATGAAGCCTTGCAAGGAGACCAGAGTTGTGATTTGGGGCTCTACAGAAAAATTACATTAAATTGAGTAACTCTGCACAGGTCTGGTACAGATGCTGATATTACTTTTTGGGTTGTCAAAAAATCTAAATTTGATACTAGTTGACACAACAAAATTAGAACAAAATGTGACAATTTTAGAATAATTTTAGAATGGTCTATATTAGAAAAAAAAATAAAAAATCACCATACTTTTCCTCATATTGATCACTTACGATTTGTAAAATTTGTTTTGGTTTTGTTTCACGTAAACAAAAAGGCATTTAATATTAATTTCTTGTCCAAATACAGACTTTTAAGCATTGATCAAACACAAATAACTGTCAGATTTTTTCCTCCAAATTCTGAACTCCAAACCATGTTTTTCCATCTGAGAATTGGCTGTAGACTTCTCCATTAAAAAGACTAATCATAACCAGAATGAAAGCACTAGCTATAATATTTAAAAAAACAACTGTTTTATCTACATTCTATTGTCTAAAAGAAGAGCTTTTTATGATCATTGCAGTATGAAAATCAGTTAGTCCTGCAAAACAACTCCTGCTCATTGAAAAAAAACTAAACAAATGATAAATTTTTCCTTGTTTGGATTCAGTAGACCCATATTTTTAAGCACTTTTACTTAAGTTTTTACTATATTATTTAATGCACAGGTGTCAAACATGCGGCCCGGGGGCCAGATCCGGCCCTCCAAGACCTTTAATCTGGCCCTCGGCTGATTTTCTACTAAAATATTTTAATTCTATTTTTTATTAAAATATTTATATAAAATATTGTTAATTTTCTGCGATGCTGAGCATTGCAGCATCTCCAGCGTCTCTGTGCGTGGCCCCTCCCACCAGAGCAGCACAAATGAAGACTTGTCTCTTTCCAAACTCTCTTAAAGGACGATCGTTTTGACTGTTGACAATGACACCCTCATCAGCAAAATGTCTAAAATGAGAAAAGCGGAGCTGAGTGCAGGATTTACCAAGAAAAATGTACTTATTCCTATTTATACAAGTTAATGTTAAACAAGTTCATGTTAAAACATTGTGTTGAAATTGTATTTTTCTTAAAGTTTCAGGTTGTTCATAACATTATAATATTTTGTAAAAGAAAGAGTTCATCAGTTAAAAAAAAAATCTGTAATAGATTTGTGTTTCTCTGCACAAATATTTGAACTTATTGTTATTTTTGGGGTTTATATGACATGAGTTTTCTGATCCGGCCCCTTTGAATCAAAGTCGGTTGGATGTGGCCCCCGGACCAAAATGAGTTTGACACCCCTGATTTAATGTGTTCCCACTATTGTTACATCAGTTTCGATCAGTGTATAAGTGCACTGATTTTAGTATCATCAAACACAACTTCCTGAACATTGAGGAAAAAAAAATATTTGAGCAACTTTTTCTCATTTGGATTCATTAGACCCATTCCTGACAAGTTCCTCTGTATTTTGTAAACACGTTTCCTTGAGGTTTTTCTATATTTTGTGAACTGTTCCCACCTTGTTGTGTCAGTCAGTGTAAAAGTTCACAGTACCCACATTACAGTATCATTTTCAGTATCACAATTTTCTGATAATTGAAAAAAAAAAACTACATATTTGAGTAATTTTTCCTCATTTGAGTTTTTTTCTATATTATTTGATCTGTTCCCACTTTTGTTGTGTCAGTTTTGGTCAGTGTAAAAGTTCCCAGATTTCAGTAATTTCAATACTTTTTCCTCTCTTGGATTCATTAGACCCAGTTTGACAAATTCCCATATATTTAGTGAGTATTTTTACTTGAGTTTTTTTTCTACTAGTACATGATTTGAAGTGTTCCCATCTTTGTTGTGTAAGATTTGGTCAGTGTAAAAGTTCACAAATTTTACTATCATGAAACACAACTTTTTTCATCATTAAAAATATAATAATAATTCAGTCATTTTTTCCTTATTTGGATTCATTAGACCCATCCCAGATTACAAATTTGCCAAGTATTTTGTGAGCACCTTTACTTAGTTTTGACCTTGTTGTGTCCGTTGTGGTCAGTGTAAAAGTTCACTGTAACCACATTTTAGTGTCATGAAACACACAACAACAACAAAAATTACATCCTTTGACAAACTCCCACATATTTCTACTTCTACTTGAGTTTTCTCTGTGTTATTTGAAGCGTTCCCACCTTTGTTGTGTCAGATTTGGTCAGTGTAAAAGTTCCCAGTGCTGATAAGAGCCTGTGTGACTGTGAGTGTGTGACTGAGGGACATTCCTGAGCATAAAGCCGCAGAGCCCAGTGTGGTCTCTCACTTCACTGTGGAACTGATACGCTGCAGATCTGTATGGGGAAGTAGTAGTAATTGGAGTTGTACAGTGAGTGTGACTGCATTAGTTATTTGTTTAAAGGTTCTGTATTACGCAAGACTGATTCTTGTGAGCTTTAAGAATCCATGTATCATTCGTTCATTCGTTTTTCAATATAAAGCCAAAATAAGAAAATGAAAAAACTACAGTTTTCTTCATTATTTGTCTCTTAAACCGAAGTGAAAAAATGGATAACGATTAGTTTTTTCAGTTTTCAATTTTGTGTTTAAACGAATAATGGAAAAAACGGATAATGGGTGTTTCCCGTTTCCGTGACTTAAACTGCAATGCCGGACTTTTGCACCACATACGGATTGAACCAGGACTAAACCAGAACTAAACCAGGACTAAACCAGGACTAAACCAGAATTAAACCAGGACTAAACCAGAACTAAACCAGGACTAAACCGTTTTCTGGTCCCGTCTGGCCCTGGTCTCAGTCCCGGTCTGGTCCTGGTCGCTGTCCCGGTCTGGTCCTGGTCGCTGTCCCTGTCTCAGTCCTGGTCCTCGTCCCGGACTCAGTCCTGGTCTGGTCCCGGTCTAAGTCTTGGTCTCAGTCCTGGTCTGGTTCCGGTCTCGTCTTGGACCTGGTCCAGTCCTGGTTCAGTCTGTATGCGGCACAAAAGTCTGGCATCGCAGTTTAAGTCACGAAAACGGGAAATGGCCGTTATCCGTTTTTTCCATTGTTCATTTAAACACAAAATTGAAAACTGAAAAACAAATCGTTATCCTTTTTTTTTTTTCATTTTGGGTTGGAGACAAATAATGAAGACAACAGTTGTTGTCATGTTTGAATGTTGTTACTGCCTCAAAAACATACCTGGATTTGTGTTTTGTTTCATTCACACATGCTTGAGTTGCCTTTTATCATTAGTCTGTCTGCATCTCCAAAGCTCAAAATGCTCTGTTGCAAATTGTGATGTCATGAAGCTACTTTTAGTTCAGTAGAGATTGGCAATTACAGGACTGAAAATATCCACGATTCTAATATTTAATGATGATTGTAACATTTAAGCACTTCCTGTATTACCGCATGACATCACAAGGTGGAACAGAGTGTTTTCAGTTTGAGAGAAGAACCCAACTATGCAGGATTTGTGTGTTAAACGTGTGAATGAAGCAAAGCACAGCTCCAGGTCTGTTTGCGCTGAGGAAACAACATATGTCCTCTTTAAAAATCAAGTTCTGTTTCTAGCTGTGACCAGTCAAATAAGAGATTGTATTTATCATTCACGCGGACACATAGAAAGTCCCGTAATGCACTTTGCCTCCTCTGTTTCCTCTACTTCCTCCTGGTTTGTTACATTTGACTTGCAGCCAGAGCTTTGGACTGCTGCTGCTCAGATAAGTTTATGAGGCTTTTGGTGGGAACTTGGTCAGACGCCATGTTTTTTTGTATTCAGCTTTTAACTTTGGGCACTAATGGTACTTGAACATGCAGGAGTTAGATTACATTATACAGAGAGTGTGCTGAGAAACCTGGTGCATTGTGGGAAGTCACATGTTGTTTGCTTGTGTGAGTATGAGCTGTTTTCTCGAAGTGCCATGTGAGCTACGATAAGAGAAAAACTGTTAAGAGGAAAAAACTTGTGGGGTTAATTTTATGAATGATTCATATTTTGTGCAATAGTGGACAGTTAAACATGACATTAACTGGCATTTTCTGGGTCAGTGCATTTCTGAAATTATAAAAATGCAGTCAAATCATTCTTTTTTTTTTTTATTTGAGCAATTTTAGTCAATATTATCCATCCTCATATTGATCTTCCTTAATATCAAAAACATTTTATACATTTTATTTAAAAAATTTAATTGATTTAATACAGTTACATTCCCAGTATGTAACCTTTTTTTGCTGAAAATACAGGGTGTCCCAAAAAATTAGACATAATTTTAAAAGCAATTATTTTGAAAACTACTCAGTCCAACTCAATGATGATGTTGATGTTGGTCTGCCAGATCGTTTAACCCTACATAAGAAGTCGTCCTCTTTAAATTTTGGTACCAAGTCCAAATTTGTTTGCCAGTTGGTGAAGTTTTTCCAAATTTTGCATTGCACAGTCTTGGGTGATTGTGTGGGAGCAGATCCATAACGCAAAATGACTTCTCTTTGGGAGTGAACGGCATGACTCAACCTGAAAACAGAACAAAAATAAAACATTGAATTTAAAATCTTGATCTGTTTCTTTACATTCTGTGAAAATTTCAAGCTTATTTCAACAAAAATTTATGAAATTATTGGCCTGTGAAACTTTTTAGGACATCCTGTATAGTAAAATGAAAGTGTGTTTGTTAATTTTTCATTATGGATTGTTTGTTCGACTGAAAAACATAGAAAACAGTCCTTACGCTGACTGGGCTTTCATCTCCACAAACCTGACTCTTACTTGGTCTGGAGGAGCGACTGTATTTCCATGGAATCATGCAGTTGACATTCCACCCTATTGTCACTTTAAACTATGACAAAACAACAAGACTTCAGATCAGTGCCTTTCACAACAAAAATAGTCCCATTTGTTCCTCCAAAGTCTGAACTCTGCTCCAAACCTTTTGCTTTTACTAACAGGGGCGTGGCTCTGGACCTCTCCGTTAAAAAGACCCAGGCTGATCATTGTGAATTAGACATGACTGAACCAAAATGTTGATTAAAATTTGATTAACGGCCGGAGCCCTTCTTATGAAACAACTTGTCACGATACAAAAAACTTCAAACTTTCGATACTAAGGAATAGACTCGATATCCAATATTCTGATACCACAATGATAATAAAAACACTTTCTTTAGACAATAGAATGTAGTTTTCAAGATTAAATCATAGTACTTTCTTTTATATTCCCATGTGGTCTTATATCTGTGTAATTCCTCAGTGGTCCAGGTAGTTTCCAGACTAGTCTATGTGCTTTTATACTTGTTCTGATACAGCTCAAGATGATTCTAAAGCTCTTCAGGAAGATTCATTTCTGTCCTGTGAGTGTGCATGTGACTTTTGCATAAATAATTCTCAAAAGTCTAGTTTGGATATTAGTTTTAGTATTGATTCTGTTTTCTGATACTTTTGACAAACCCTCCTCTCTCCTCCTCAGGTCTAAATGCACAGGTCCGTAAGCTGCAGAAGACCAGGTCGCGCGTGGCCTCTCTGTTCGTGGATGGGAGCGGAGAAGGTGTAGACGGACTGGGTTTGTGGAGGAGTCTCAGCGACATGGACGTGTCGACCATGGGGAAAGAGGCGCTCCGAGCTCAACAGAGCCAAAACCAGAACCAGAACCAGCTCAGGGAGGAGCAGGAGGCGGAGGTCGACAAAGAGGAGCTGAGGCTGGGGCAGGAGAAGGAGGAGACGGAGAGCAGCGACGATAACACCACACAATACTCCATCCACCCGCCATTTGACTTCCCCTATTTTCTACTACTGCAGGGATACAACCACAGACAGGTAAACAGATCAAGATTATGTTCAAATATATTAGTTTTATATTGCTTTTTATTTTCTGATCTATGTTTTAATGTTGTTTCCTCATCAAAAACATAGCTGGGGTTGTCAGATGAAGAGAAGAGGTAGAGCGCTTTACTTGGTCATAAAAAAGTCAAAAAGTAGAGCTGCAGGTGCTCTACGAGGGGTAACTTGAACTATTATCAAAACCTAGCCCTTAGTAAAAAATATAAAGTTGGGCGAGGTACAAACCCGAGGCAAACTGACTGAATATATTAAAAGTCCTTTATTACATGGAGCGACGCCAACGTGTTTCGACCCGCAACATGGTCTTCGTCAGGGCATAAGGGTGAAACAGCCGTTATCTGTTTTTTCCATTATTAATTTAAATACAAAATTGAAAACTGAAAAAACAAATCGTTTTCTGTTTTTTCATTTTGGTTTTGGAGACAAATAATGGAGAAAATAGTGTTTTTTTCATTTTCTTATTTTTGGTTTTATATTGAAAAACGGATGAACGAATGAACGAACGGATTTTTAAGACATGTTTGAATGTTGTTACTGCCCCAAAAACACACCTGGAGTTGTGTTTTGTTTTATTCACACATGCTTGAGTAGCCCTTTATGATGAGTCCGTGTACATCTCCAAGGCTCAAAATGCTCTGTTGCAACTTGTGATGTCATGAAGCAGTAGTTTTCAAGTGAACAGCTACTTTTAGTTCAGTAGAGAAGGTGGAACAGAGTGTTTTCAGTTTGAGAGAAGAACCCAACTATGCAGGATTCGTGTGTTTAAATGTGTGAATGAAGCAAAACACAACTCCAGGTATGTTTGCGATGAGGAAACAACATATGTCCTCTTTAAAAATCAAGTTCTGTTTCTAGATGTGACCAGTCAAATAAGAGATTGTATTTATCATTCACGCGAATACATAGAAAGTCCCGTAATGCACTTTGCCTCCTCTGTTTCCTCTGCTGTCCTTTGTAGCTTGAACTATTATCAAAACGTAGCCCTTAGTAAAAAATATAAAGTTGGGCGAGGTACAAACCCGAGGCAAACTGACTGAATATATTAAAAGTCCTTTATTACATGGAGCGACGCCAACGTGTTTCGACATGCAAGATAGTCTTCGTCAGGGCATAAGGGTGAAACAGGACCCACAGGTGTCCTTAAAGACAATTACATATCAATCACATGACAAGATCACATGACTATAGGAAAAAGAAACAAACCATGGGGAAGTATAGGTGATGGACAGACCCACAAACAGCAACAAGACACACGTGGCATGTGGGAGATGGATAAAAATACAATAACACATTGGACCACACATTAAAACACCAAATACGTCAAGGAACTGTCAAGGTTTTATAAGTTTCAGAGGAACATGGACTAATCCAAATCTTAATTTCTGCCTGGATGCTGTGCGGCCTTTAATGTTATAAACCAAAAATAGTCTATCACCCCTTCTGATGTTTAGAGGGACTACCTCAATGTCCATGACTTTTAAGAGACTGACTTTGCACTGAGTGGAGGATTGAAATTGTAGAGCCACTGGGTAATTGGGTAGCCAGGCTGGCGCCACCTCGTGCCTCCACTCAATTTAATGTCTCTCCAGCGACTAGGTCAGGAATCAGAATACACTAGATGGTTCGCAAAAAGCCCGGAAGTGCAAGTTCAGGCACCAGCCAATCAGCGAAGAGCCATACATTCTGTGGTGGCAACGATTCCCGAGATCGAGGATTTAAAGCCGGAACAAAGAGAATGTTTGGTGAATTTTATCAAGGGGAAAGACGTTATTGCCCTTCTTCCTACGAGATTTGGGAAAAGCTTAATATACCAGTTAGCCTCGTTAACGGCGCGTTACATACGTCACGACCAAAAAGCAGAGATTGGTTAAATGATAAAAAGTACCTGTCTACCGTCTAGCGAACAAATTCTAACACTGCGAGGTCAGACGGTTTCTACGAAGTGAAACCGGCTGATCAGTCAGGCTGGTAATTGGGATTTTTAGTTTTAACTGCATTTTTATGTTCACAAAAGTGATCTTTACCTGGAGATGCGTTTTGTTTCATTCACATTAACCCTGCATATTTGTGTCTCTTATACAGAAAACACTCTGTTCCACCTTGTGATGTCATGTGGTAATAAAGGAAGTGCTCCACTGTGTTTTCAAACTCCATACACCTTCACTAGAATCATTTGGGTAATTTCAGCCCTTTCAAGATCATTTCCAATCTCTACTGAACAAAAGATAACAAAAGGTAACAAAAGGAGCTGTTAACTTGGAAACTATCGCTTCTTGACATCACAAGGTGGAAAAGAGCATTATTTTGAGCTTTGGAGACGTGTGAATGAAACAAAACACAACTCCAGGTATGTTTTTGAGGAGGTAACAAGATTATAACATGGCTTAAAGCTCTCAAGAGTCAGTTTCACGCAATGTAGGACCTTTAAAGTTGCAATAATTTTCTGGTAGAGTGACATCCACCTGCTTATCTCCATAAAACATTTTATTGCCGTACCTGGAATGTACCTGGAATATTTCACAGAATGGCATACATCTTCTCCATCTCTATTGAGACAAACGATGCCATACTGTGGAACATTAAAATTATGTTAAACAAGCGATAGACCTGTCATCTCATGGTTCATTGAGACTTTGTTGGTCGTGAGGATCAGATTATGTGTTAAACAGGAGGCGCAGGTGTTGGTGTCCGTCTTTACTCTAAGCTCCTTGTGTGGAGGCTAATTCCCCGTCAGAGACCAAGGCCGCGGTCAGACCACGGGACAACAAAAGAGACGCCATGTTGGAGTAATGACACCTACAAGTTACTCACATTCAAAATAAAACAATACGTCGATGGTGATCCAGCTTTTTCAGCTCCGATACTGATTCTGATACTAAGGATTTAAGTATCCACCCATATCCGATATCAATAAGTATATTACGATACTGAGTAGGGATGTAACAATAACTAAATATCGTGATATCGTATCATCAAAGTTCTCAAAATAATATCGTGGACCATCACAATATATTGAATTACAAGTCTCTTTGCTTAAATTAATAGTTATGGTGCAGCAATACCTAAATAAAGACAGAGGGAACTACATAGACCATGATCCTTTGCTCCATTTCAGTGCAGACTACAAGAAGAAATAACAGTTCTAAGCACTTTTAAGTCTTTGGATTAAGTCTTGTCAAGGCATTTTAAGAGGAAAATGTAGCATATTCACAGTTTTGTTTGCCTCCACAGAATATCGCAATAAATATCGTACCTTGAAAATATCGTACTGATAGATTTGGATATTGTTACATCCCTAATCGTGAGCCTCTCCACCAAATCGTGAGCTTTCCCACGTTATCGCAAAAAATATCGTACCGTGAGATTCATACCGTGACGTATCGTATCGTGAGACTTGGACATCATTACACCCCTAATTCTGAGGCAAGATACTTGGACAAAAATTGCGTATAATCGCTTAAAGGTGCATCATGTAACTTTTTTGTTTGTATGGATATGTCACTGCTCTTCTTGGAATGTTCCACAGTATGACATTAAACAGCTCTACCTTACGTTTATTCAATTACAGGAGGTTTTACTGCTTAAAAATACCTAGAAAAACATTCTGATTTTGAGCAGGGCCGCCTCTCCACAAATCTGACCTGTAACTTGGTCTGGTTTGGTCTCCATGAAGATAGAAAGATTTAATGACATACTGTGAAACATTCCAGACAAAGCAGTAACAGCTCCATGGAGAAAAGCATCTGATGGGCCCTTACACTATGCACGTTTAAAGTTTGAGACTGAAATCATGAAACCAAAGTATTGTGGTCTCTCTTTCTCTCTGCCCTGTTTTGTGTGGGGCAGAGTTGATTTCTGACAGAGCCCCCGAGTCTGTGGCTTTAGTCCGTTTCCAGGAACAGGAAGTGCTGTTTGTCTGAGCCGCTGCCGTGGAAACGCTGAGTGGGCAGGATCACGGTGACAGACAGACACTGCTCTAATCTGCACCGTGATACAGCCATGTGTGACAACGGGGCAAGTGACAACAAGCAGAGATACAGAAAGAAAACAATGACAACTCACAAGCGTGTAGTCAAATTCAACTGTGATTTAGTGTTTATGATACTGAAATTCCAAACTTGATTTCAGTAGTAAGGGATAGACTCACCTCAATAACGATTCTGATACCAAGATGTTCATGAAAAACACTCTTACTTTAGACAATAGAATGATATTTTCTGATTTATGTTAAAATGTCGTTTCCTCGTCACAAACATACCAGGAGTTGTGTTTTTTTGTTTCTTTCATGCATTTTTATCACACAAATCCTGCATATTTAGACTCTGAGTTCTTCTCTCCAACAGAAAACACTCTGTTCCACCTTGTGATGTCATGTGGTAATACAGAAAGTGCTCCACTGTGTTTTTAAACTCCTTCACTAGAATAAATTGGGTTATTTCTGTACTGGAATTGTCAATCTCTACTGAAGTAAAGGTAAAATGTAGCTGTTAAAATCGACCGCTTCGTGACATCACGAGGTGGAACAGAGCATAGGGTTACTCAAACATGTGTAAGTGAAACAAAACACAACTCTGGGTATGTTTTAGATGAGGTAACAGCATTCTAACGTGACTTAAAGCTCACAAGAGTCAGTGTTGTGTAATATAGGACATTTAAATCCAGCGGTGCTTGCGATACTCATGATAGGACTTTTGGCTCTTTTACAGGATCCGAATATTTCAGAGCGATTCATTTCAAAGAGCTGTGCAAAAGACTGGCTGTTGTGTATTTATTTACACGACAGAAGCCGATGTGAGCTCTCGTGTTATTTACAAACTAACCACAGAAAGAGATGACAAAGCCTCAGATCTGTTTCAAATGGTTCCAACTGAGAGCGGGAGCGTGTTTACTCTTTGAAATGATGCATTAGCTAAATAAAAAGTTGCACTACAGTAAAAATAATAATTAAAAAATGAACTGTTATTAAGATGTCAAAAATCCATAAAAACTGAAAGAAAATATTTGGTTCTTTTAAAAAATTTTATCTAGTTCCACTTTCAACTCGATACGCAATACCGATTTTCTATTTACTACACTACACTATACATTTAATACACTTTCTTTAGACAATAGAATGTGATTTTCAACATTAAGTCTTACTTTCTTACATCTTAAATCATATTTTTGTTTATATTTCCATGTGGTCTTATAGCTTTTTAATCCCTCAGTGGTCCAGGTAGGTTCCACAGTGGTTCATTGGTGTATACTTGTCTGTGTGCTCTTATACTTGTTCTGATACAGCTCAAGATCATTCTAAAACTATTCAGGAAAGGCTCATTTCTGTCCTGTTAATGTGACTCTTTTAGTATTGATATATTTTAGTTTCAATATTAGTTTTAGGATCGATTAGCATCTGATTTTCGATACTTTTGACAACCCTATGTACCCCATTTTCTCTCTTTGACCAACACTACTACCATACTTTCTTTTGTCAGTCGTACAAAAGCTACCATATGTCACAACAGAAAGCACCACTGTACAGTATAATTCATTTCTATTGCCATTTTTGTGCAGTTAATTAGCTCTGTAGTTGGTTCACTCACTCCCTTAGGCCTGCCCCGGCCTGGCACCTCCATCAGTAAAAGCATTAGACCTGGAGGTACTTGACTTCACTCTAATCTCGTCCTGTCAGAACGTTGGTGCCTCCCCCGCTCCTGCACACTTTTGTTTACACTTCAGCTCCACTGGTGCCCGTCCAAAATCTTGCATAAGAAAGTTAAAGGGGCCTTATTATGCTATTTTCTGATCTATGTTATAATGTTGTTTCCTCATCACAAACATACCCTGAGTTCTGTTTCGTTTCATTCACGCAAGTTTAATCCACCAACCCTGCATATTTTGGATTTTCTCACACAGAAAACACTCGAGACGGTAAAGCTAACAACAACTAACATGCTAACAGCGCACTTCATGTTTCACTGACAATAACGAACCTTTATAATTAGATGTGAAGAGTGCACTGGAGTCTCATTTCCACCTTAAAAGCTGCTTATACAATATATCAGTACTGGGTAAAACAGATTTTGTCCAACTACATGAAAAAATCTGACACAAGGTCTTTAAAAGTGCAATGCGTAACTTTTCTGGTGGAGGGTCCGTCATGGAAATGTCATTGCTTTGACAATAGGATGTTCCACAGTAGAGATTTAACTTATCTGTCTCAAGGGAGGCAACTAGGACTGGGCGATATGGAGCAAAAAAATGTATCTCGATATATTTTTTATGTCTCGACATACAATATATATCTCGATATCCGTAAAGGAAAAATAACTAAATAAAAAATAATAATTTAAGTGTAAAATAAAGGAAGAAATATTACATATTGCCTTCTTTTCATTCAAAAATAACTCAACTCTACTCAATTCAAGCTCATCTTTGCATGCATAAACTCTGCTAACTATACGATAACCATATCCATGAGCTCCATTAGCAGAGGAAGCTCAGGAGTTTACTTATTTTAATAGATCCATGTTCCTCACCAGCGTAAGGGGCTATGAGGTATCCCACAATCCACTGCAGATCAAACCCAACATTTCCAAATACTATTGTACAAGTTCTACACTGCAGCAGATTATTAATTAAAATCTTCTTTTACATTACTAAATATAAATGTGCATTACTTTTGGTTGGCATCAACTTTGGGCATTCATGGCAGTAGTGAGTAGAGAATGAGACAACACGCTGGGGGAGGGATCAAGGAGGTGGGGGTGAGCACAGCACAGAGAAGGCAAACAAGCAAAGCAGTGAAATCAGAATTAAATATAAGCATTAAATTGAGATATAGGATATGTCCATTCTGTGTTTAAAAAATATCTCGATATATTTAAAATATCAAGATATCCTCCACCCCTAGGGGCAACTATAAGCTACATTACAGGTCAGATCTGTGGAGACTCGCCCCCATTCACAGAGAGAATCATTGTATTTTTGAGCAGCAGGAACACCTGTGATAAAGAAATGCTAGATAGATATGTTTAATGTCATACCATGGAACATTCTAGGCAAAGCAATTAAATCCATGGAGACAAGCAGGTGACAGACCAGAAAAGTACCACTAGAGCGGATACATCTTCTGGTGGTTGTCTTTTTGCCTTTAGTCCTTGTTTTATGTCATGTTTATAACTAAAGCTTTTTGTTCTAATCTATAATCTTTATTCCTCCAGGATTTCGTGATCTACCTGATGAGCGGGACCACCACGATATTCGGCTGCTGTCAGGAGCACAGTAACGGGGAGGACGAAGAGCGCCTCAAAGTGGACATTCTGTTATTCGCGCCAGATGTTTTACCACAACATTGCTGCGTGCGCCGTCTGGATTGTACCAACTCCACCTCCGCTACGGGGGAGTCCAAAAAATCCACCACCACCATGCTTAAACCTTTGCACGGAGCCCCCGTCACTCGAAATGGGTTCCTTCTCAAAGACGAGGTCGAGTTAAGTCCTGGAGATCTCGTCGGATTGGGAAAGCACTATTTGTTTATGTTTAAAGACCCAACTAGTTCTTCCACATCGCCACAAACTCCTCCATGGATGACGAAACTATGTCCCAACTCCGACCCCAAAACATCTTGCTTTTCTTGCGATTCTCCACAAAAACTGACAAGCAAATTTTTCGCACCATGCTGGAGAGATTTGGAAGGGAGAGAAGCAGCGGTTAGCTACGATTTAAACCAGGAAGAAGAAATTTTAGAAAAGATTTTGACAATGTTGGACCCCAGTGGAAGTGAACCAAAATTAACCCCGGCATTCCTGCTGAGTTTGTGCATCCAGCATTCTGCGAGCACGTTTGAGCTCGCACATTTGAGACAACTGCTGCTTCGGATAGCCAGTCAAATCCAGCAGATTATGTGGGTAAGGACAAAGCAATGATATCATGATAGATTTAGACAAAATGCGGGCTGTGTTGCCCTGGCAAGTGCAGCGGCCATCTTGTGAATGGGGCTAGAGCAAATAGACCTTTTTCACAACGGCCGGAAGTGCCGTGATGTATGGGAAACGTCACTTATGTTAATGCTTTTCTATGGCAAAATATTTGTGGAAATGTCTAGTGTATTTTCCACCAGCTTCATAAATCTGCCTACTAGGGATGTAGCAACAACCGAAATATTGTGATATTGTATCGTCAAAGTTCTCACAACAATATCGTGGATCATCACAATATATCGAATTACAAGTCTCTTTGCTTAAATTAACAGTTATGGTGCAGCAATAGCTAAAAAAAAGACAAATGGAACTACATAGACCATGATCCTTTGGTCCATTTCAGTGTTGACTACATGAAGAAATAACATTTCTAAGCTCTTCTAAGTCTTAGTTCTTTGGATTAAGTCTTATCAAGGCATTTTAAGTGGAAAAAGTAGCATATTAACAGTTTTGTCAGCCTCCACGAAATGTCACGACAAATATACCGTGAGATGTATATCGTGAAAACATAGAGACTGAGAGATTTGTTCTTTTTTTCCTAATTATGAGCCTCCCCACCATATCGTGAGCTTTCCCACAGTATTGCAATAAATATTGTGACAATATCGTATCATGAGACTTGGATATCGTTACACCCCTACTGTCTACCCATCACCAAATCTTCATCCAACAAGGTTCACAAAGGACATATTCTGTCCATGAAGAATTTATCCACAACTATCAAGGTAAGAAAAGATGGAAACATAAAGGCGAACAACAACTAGTGTTAGTGAACTACTCCTGAGCAAAAATAACTTTATAGTCATGAATAAAACAGAAGTAATTTGTGAACTCAGACTGATTCTACAATTCAATTAAAAAATTGATTTCATGATGTAGATATTAGCATAGATAGAGAGATTTGTGCAGTTTAAATGCTAGACATTCGAACTGCTTAATGCTCGTCGTTGTTTGCCTTTCAATTTTCGTCTTTCTTACCTTGATAGTTGTGGATAAATTCTTCATGGACAGAATATGTCCTTTGTCGACCTTGTTGGATGAAGATTTGGTGATGGGGTAGACAAATTTATGAAGGTGGTGGAAAATACGTGCGACATTTCTTCAAACATTTTGCCACAGAAAAGCATTAACCGGACGTCCCACGAACCTACTGCGGGGCTCTTCTGACTGTTGTGAAAAAGGTCTGTTCTGATTGGAAATGAAGTAAAACAGGGCCAAAACGTAACTGATTAAAGTGTTTACATTTAATGGTATATTTGTGATCCAGCTCTGTCTATTTTTTTCAGTATTTAAAAAAAAAAAAAAACATTGTTCACCGTAAAAACTCTCCACTGGTCTGTATTTTATGCAGAACTGAATTATGTTTGGGAGTCAGTACACCATGTGGACACCAGCACTGATAATTATTCAGTTTACTTCATGCCTACTGTTATAAAAGAAGAATGTATGACCTAAAATGAAAAATATGTATTTCCAAATTCATATTAGATAAAATGTATAAACACACACATACAAAAACAGCTATCAAAGTATTGAAGGGAAAACTAGAATTAAAAGTCCAGATACTTTGCAGCTGATATCATCAACATCTGGAAGTACCTCTTTGTCTGAATCTCTGTTACTCAAGTTATATTTTAAGCCCATCTTAACACAATTTGGAGCTTTATTTGAAGCTACAGCATTAGCCAGGACTTTTTTTCAGTTAGTCACTCTGTATTTTTTGAATTTTCAGACCATCTTAAAACTTTTTTTGGTTTTGGCCATTGTGAGCATTGCGTAACCATGGTAACTGCTGAAAATTCCACCATAGACATGTAGATGGAGAACCCTGCAGCATGATGTCACTGCAAAGTATCAGTACATAGACTTTGTATGCACACTCACATGTCTGCTGCAGCTGGACATTCTGTACTATACATAGGTTACCATGGAAACGATCTCTCTATTTTTCCTTATTTTTTCTATATTTCATTGGGATAAACCCTATATTTCTTTTCATAGACGGGCTATTGTATGCAGAAACCAACCCGCTAAATCTTATCTGCTCACTGCCAATTTGACCCTTTGTGTTTCTGAATAAAGCTCCGTAATCAAATGTGCCATCAGGGCTGTAGGAATGCACTCAGAGCTGCTTGAAGTTTGCTAGTTTTGCACACAGGCTTGAAACGGATAGTTTTCTTTTATTGTGTTTTTGTGCATTTTAGGACAAGACAAAGGAGCTCGCAGCGATACAACCAGAAACGTGAGTACTGCAAGAATCGTCCCAGAAATAAACAACAGTGTGCAGAGCTTGAAGAGAGAGAGGGAGGAGGGAGGAGAGAGGGAGAGAGGAGAGAGGAGAGGCAAAAAGAGGGGGAGGATTCTGGCTCTCAACACCTTACTGTCTGAATACACTGTGGGTTTACATGCACGTCTCCATATGAAAATAAAGTGCATTCTCATTCCTGTAAGACAATAGCCACTTTTAAGATTATAGTGGTTTACTATTGTGTCGGGGGAAGGCGTAAAGAAGGTTATATAACACTGGAAAACTCACAGACTGTGTAAAGAAGCGGACTAAGCGTGTGTGACGTCCCCCATAGTGTTCAGCTCCAGTCAAATGAAGCTCAACGACTCTGGCAGTTATAGGAGCGAATCTGGAGCCAGTTCCATATTAGGAAAAGTCATTTATTTACGTAAACCAGGATCACGTAGAGTGGGTTAATATAAACATTTTAAGACCAAAAGGACAGGGCTCACAGCAGCAGTTAAAGAGAGAGGGGTGATAATATATAGTCAACTGGAAATGCTCACTTTCTATTTGGAGCGTGGAGTTAGCTGTCCATTTATTTCCCAGTTAGGTCTTGTTGTACACTAATGCTGGGAATCATTAAGTTGCCGATACGATACATACCTCGATACATGGGCCACGATACAGTACATATCTCGATGCAGTGATATATTTCAAATCAATTCGATACGATTCAGTAAAAAATAAAGGCTAAATCATGGCTGTGATACTAAGTCTTTGTTAAATCACTTTTTTTTACAAAGTGAATATGAAACATGCACATTTTAATAATCAAAACAGTGAAAATATCAAATGTGTTGCATAAACGAGTTTCCTTCCTCTGAAAAAGCAACAAAACTGTAGCACTCTAACGAAATTATTTAGTAAAATATACCAAAAAGTACTCTTGGCGATATATCGATACAGCAGCCCACGATATCAATACTGTATCAGCACATTAAATGATGCGATATATCGATATTTTGATTTTTGCACACCCCTATAGTACACTTGGGTTGACCTTGTTTAAGTTTTTATTTTTATCCAGTTTGACCAGTTTATTAAATTAATGTACATATTTTGTTTAATTTAACTGATCCAAAATTAAAATATAGCTTTATATATATAGTGTTGATTTTACTGAGAAGCGTTTTGGTCACCTTGAATGTTCTTAAGAGCTCTATAAATAAAGATTGATTGATGATATCATTATGCAAAATACAAATACAAAACATAGCTATTGAAAATTGTGCATAGTTACTGTTGTAGTTACCAATGTATTTCCATTCTATTACCGTGATATTACAGTGAATGCTCCCAGTTTTGGTCTGCAACATGTAAAGTATAAAATCTGAAGTTTAATAGAAAGTTACTAATGTGTTTTGATCGTTTTCCCCTTTTTTTTTTGCTGCAGAGACGGTGGAGCAGAGCCGGAGCTGAGCACAGAGAGTCTGATCCCAGGCTTGCGCCCCCTAGTGCTGTGGATGGCCAACTCCATAGAGCTGCTTCACTTTATCCAACACGAGGTCCCACAGCTGCTGCCATATAAACAAGACCAGGAAGACCAAGGTATCCTCTCCGCAGATCTGACCTGCAACTTATCCTGTAGCTTGTATCATCACTTGCTTGTCTCTATAGATAATGTTAAGATCTGTGGAACATTCCTGGCAAATCTGTAACATCTCCATGGAGGCAAACAGCTGGCTAACCCAATACCAGAAAACTTACGCAGAGCTCCTTTGATTGTGATCTTTCTGTTTTCTCAGCTCTCCTGGATTCTGAGTTGTCGTCCACGCGTACAGCCTGTGAGGAGGCCATGACGGTGCTGGAGGAGGTCATCATGTTCACCTTTCAACAGTCGGTCTACTACATCACAAAGGTTAGCACGGACACTCACAGCAGCTGGATTCTGGTTTGACAGTAGGAAGAACAAGTGTGAGATGAAGGGCCCACATTACGCTGTTTTCTGAAAGTATAATGTTGTTTCCTTATCAGAAACATACCTGGAGTTGTGTTTTGTTTGATTTGGATCATTTCAGCCCTGGAATTGCCGATCTCTACTGAACTGAAGGTTAAAGGTAGCTGTTAACCTGAAAACTCTGTGTGAATGAAACAAAACATATCTCCAAGTATGTTTTTGAGGAGGTAAAAACATTATAACATGGTTTAAATCTCACAAAAGTCAGTTTTGTGTGATATAGGACCTTTAAAGGGCCTGTACCTGATTTTGAATCATGAGCACACGAAGAACACGAAGAATGAATGAATGTTTATTTGGACAGTAATGCATAGAACATACATAGAAAACATAAATACATAGATATAACACAAAAAGTAAATTTCTTTTCTATAATAATAAACAAAAATAAATGTGACACAGATTTGACTTGTGTCAGCTGATCAAGAATTAACCGTTGTCTCACTTTCATGTTTAACAATGACAGAACAGCAACTGTCTGAGATAGTCACAAGTGGCTGTTTCCACATCGTTCTCATCCCATAATGTCTGATTGCATAATTTTGTCTTTCCCCGGCCCTTGCTTCCTTATGGTAGGCAATTTAATAATATGATTCAATAAAACCACACCAATGGCTGAGTTAAAGTGGGAGTATTACTTCTCTGGTGTATTAACTGCTCATACGTAACATATTTAGATCACCATGTTATAATACTTTGAAAATGATATATTCACCGAAAACAATACAGTCATTTTCAAGTTTCACTTTAGTTTTTGACACTCTTTCCATGCTAAGTCTCTCCCCCTTCAGAGCACTATTACATTACAAACAGCATGCATCTCGCTAATTAAAGTACTGCACATTGCATCAGGTTTGTGAAGTTGAGGGTGTATTGTTTTGCATCATGCAGTTGTATATTTCTGGAGAATTGCTGTGTGGGAACATGGGTGACATAGGCTTATAGGTGGAGCATTGGACAGAATCTCACAGCTAACAGTAAGAAGGGTTTGAATAGGGTCCAGGAGAGATCACTAAATTACTCTAACATGCATGGATGACATCTAACACCACTTTAGGCATATTTTTAATAAAGGAACAACATTATAACATTGTTGCCTGGAAGTCCAGAAGGATATCTGTCTGTATCTGTTATACTATATCTATATATGGTACAGTGATGAGCCTGGATTTTTCCAGGCAAAAAACACTGTAGAAAGCTCCAAAAAGTCTATTTTACGTAATACCCCCTGTTTAAAACGAATGATACGCAGGTGCTTGGCTTGTCAGGTCTCTAACACAAACTGCATGATTGCGATGACTCCAGTTGAGATTCCCACACTACAGACTGATAAACCTGATTTCTGGTCAAAGCGGACAGCAGCCTGAGTAAACACCTCTTCTGTTTTGATTGAGAAAAACCCAGACACAAAACACCAGAAGCAGCTGGTCTCAGGAAAGAACTGTGAGATACTGACGCTCCCATACATAAACATACGCAATCTCGTCTCCTGCGGTAACAGCGCCTTTGTTGAAAATATAACGATGAGAAAGTTTAGGTTTGGAGAGCGAACTAGTAGTAGTAGTTGTACTTGTAGTAGTTGTAGCAGTTGTAGTTGTTGTAGTAGAAGTTGTAGTTTGGTATACATTGTGTAGTTATTTTTCTGAATACAATATGCATGCATTATTACTGAATGTACTAGTAGCTGTTCTTATTCTAAATGAAAATATATTATAGTAGTTATTACTTTTGTAATTTTCCCATTGTGGAACATGAAGGTTTATCTTATCTTGCAGTAGTAGCTGTAATAGTAGTAGTAGTAGTAGTAGTAGTTGTAGTAGCAGTAGTAGCTGTCAGTTGTTATTCTAGTGTTCTAGAAGTAGTTAGTAGAACTAGTAGTAGTAGTAGTAGTAGTAGTAGTAGTTGTTGTTGTAGTAGTAGTAGTAGTAGTAGTAGTAGTAGTAGTAGTAGTGGTAGTAGTAGTAGTAGTAGTAGTAGTAGTAGTAGTAGTAGTAGTAGTAGTATAGTAGTAGTGTAGTAGTAGTAGTAGTAGTAGCAGTAGGTAGTAGTAGTAGTAGTAGTAGTTGCAGTAGTAGATGGTAGTAGCAGTAGTAGTCAGTAGTAGCAGTAGTAGTAGTAGTAGTAGTAGTAGTAGTAGTAGTAGTTGCAGTGGTAGTTGCAGTAGATCCAGTAGCAGTAGTAGTTGAAAGTAGTAGTAGTTGCAGTAGTAGTAGTAGTAGTAGTCCAGTAGCAGTAGTAGTTGCAGTAGTAGATGGAGTAGCAGTAGTAGTTGCAGTAGTAGATGGAGTAGCAGTAGTAGTTGCAGTAGTAATAGTAGTAGTAGTAGTAGTTGCAGTAGTACTAGTAGTAGTAGAAATTGCAGTAATAGTTGCAATTGCAATAGTAGTAATACTAGCAGTAGTAGTAATTGCAGTAATAGTAGATCCAATAGCAGTAGTAGTTGCAGCAGTAGTAGCAGTTACAGTAGTTGCAGTAGTAGTAGTAGTTGCAGTAGTAGTTGCAGTAGCAGTACTAGTAGTTGCAGTAGTAGTAGTAGTAGTACTAGTCTTAGTCGTTGCAGTAGTAGTTGCAATAGTACTACTAGTAGTAGAAATTGCAGTAATCGTAATAGTAGCAATAGTAGTAGTAGTTGCAGTAGCAGTACTAGTAGTTGCAGTAGCAGTAGTAGTAGTTGCAGTAGCAGTAGTAGTTGCAGTAGCAGTAGTAGTTGAAGTAGTAGCAGTAGTAACTTTATTGAAAATACAACAATGAGAAAGTTTAGGTCTGGAGACAGGGAGGAATTTGTACCTGACAGACACGGGAAGGATTCATTTGTGGATTCAAATATTTCACACTTGTATTTTTGTCCTAATTAAAGCTTGTCTGAAATAGAGAATGAACCACACTGCAATTTAAATACCAGACATTTTGTACTGTTCAATTTAACTTTATTTATACCACAATTTTACAGCCAACACATTAAGACTTTTTCAGTGCTTGCTTATGTAACAAAAAATACGTAGACGTGCGATTTCTATACTAAGGAATAGACTCAAATGCTCAAAACCGATTCTGATACCATGATGATTATAACTTTTCAGTAACTTTTCAACATTAAAGGTGCATGTATGAATTTAAACCGTTCTATCTTCATGGAGACCAAACCAGATCAAGTTACAGGTCAGATCTGTGGAGAGGCAAGTGCACGGTAGCCTCCATGTTTGTTTGTAGACGTGTTTAGTTTCGTGGTGTGGGCAGATGCGGCACCAGTTTACAGCTCACACTTTATACGACTTTCCCACGTCCAACTGCTCCT